TCTTTGCACTGGTTTATGCTTTGCTTTATTTTCTCAAGTTTCTCTTTAGAACCTTCTTTTTAGCTCTTGTCTCAGCATTCCTTTCCCTTGTTTTGCCTTCTTCTCATCCAGTTTAAGTTTCAGAGTTTCACCTGCCATCTTTTTAAAAAAATTTTTACTTTATATTAGTTTGAATACAAATTTTGTATACTTTGTGTTTCACACTTTCTTTCATTCACTTTGTTTCATACAATCACTTTCATTTATTATATTTTATAAATTTAATCCTCATTGAATTTTTCCCACCATTACCCCATCTGTTCAGATTCCCGCCAGAACTTTCTCATTTCCTTTACCCCTCCTCTCTCCACCCACCAAATTGTGTGATCCGATGATTTCCTGCCTACCCATTCTTATCTTTCTTTTACCCCTTAACACTTGGATCCCCATACACATTTTACCAGTTACCCTTCCGTTTTTGCAATGATAATTTTTACAATAATTGGTCTTATGTAGTATTTGTCCCTATAAGATGGAATTAATTCACTCAGCATAATGCTCTCCAGTCCTTCCCAAGTTATGTAGTAATTTTCAAATTCATTGTTCCTGCATGCTGTGTAGTATTCTGTTGTGTGTATGTGCCACAATTTCTCAGTCCATTCTATTGTGGTTGGCTATTTGGGCTATTTCCATGTTTTTACGATTGTGAATTACACTGCTGTGAACATTAGTGTGCAGATGTCCATTGGTTGCTCAGTTCTAATTTCCTCAGGGTATATTCCTTGCCGTGAAATAGCTGGGACATATGGAATTTCTATGTTCAACTTTTTGAGGAAATGCCAAACTGCCTTCAAGAGAGATTGTACCATTTTCCAATCCCACCAACAGTGTATGAGAGTTCTATCTCTCTACGTCCTAACATTTATTGCTTGATGATAATCTCATTGTGGTTTTGATTTGCATGTCTCTTCTTGCCAGTGATTTTGAGCATTTCTTTATGTTCTATTGGCCATCCTAACATCTTCCTCTGTGAAAGGTCTTTCCATGTCATTTGCCCATTTTGTAATGAGGCTGTAAGTATTTTTCTTGTGGAGGCCCTATAATATTCTATAAACTTTTGTTATGAGACCCTTCTCTGAAATTGTATTGGCAAATGTGTTTTGTTTGTTTGTTTCTTTGTTGTTTGTGTTTCCCATTTGGTGGGTTTTCTTTTTAGCCTGTTAGAAAAAAAGTATTTGATGCACACTGAGATTTAATCTTTACAAGGTCCCATTTATCTTTTTTTTTCGTCTCTCTCTCCTGGTTGTTTATTTTTTACTGTATCTATGAGCCTCTTTATACCATAGGCTGGGCCTTCTAAACTTGAGCCCACTTTGTCTCTTATGATCTGTATGGTTTTGGGATTTATCACTCGGTCTTTGATCCACCTTGAGCTGATTTTTGTGTATAAATGGTGTGTGTATCCTGCTTCAGCTTTCTGCATGTAGTCCCGTTAGTCAGCACTATTTGTTGAAGAAGTTGTTTCTCCATTTGATAGGTTTTGTTTCCTTGTTGAATATCAGTCAGCCATAGATAGATGGGTTAAGTTCTAGGTTCTCAAGTCTGTTGCATTGGTCTATGTGCCTGTCATTGTATCAGTACCATACTGTTGTGGTTATTACAGCTGTATAGTAGGTTTTGGGATCAGGGAGTACTATGCCTCCCAGTTCAGTCTTGTTTTTGTGAAGTACTTTACTTATTCGTAATCTCTTTCCTTTCCAAATAAACTTGACAGTTGCTTTGTCCATCTCTTTGAAAAATGAATTTGATATCTGTATTTGGATTATGTTAAAAATGTAGATTGCTTTTGGTAGGATTGTCATTTTCACTATATTGAGTCTTCCTATCCATGAACAGGGAACATTTTCCCATTTATCTAGGTCTTTTATTGTTCTTGTAGAAGTGGGTTTTTTGTTTTGTTTTTGTTTTTATTGAAACAATACTGTTTTCATTCAATTGATTGCAAAGTGCCTTCAATGAATAACTTGACACTTATTTAGAAAGAATAACAGGGGTGAACTGAAACATTCTATACTGACAACACATCATGAAATAACAGCATCTTCTATTGTTTAAAATAACAATATACTGGAAAAATATGGCAAATATAAATAAGTCTGTTTTCATGGAGAAAAAATAGGTACACAGTTCAACCACAAACCATAGTTCAATGAGAAGAGCTTTTTCATTTTTCTCTTAAATTAGAAGAAAAACCCCATACCAAGGAAGGCTTGCTAGAGAATTGGGATACAGTTTGCTTAGTTAGCTAAGGATACCCCTGTTTAAATAAATACATGAAATGAAACAACAGAAAGAGTACTTGAATAGATACACCTTTGTGAGATAAAATGCAAATGTTGAAAGTCAACCATCAGTACACATATTATAGCCAAAATTAACTTTGTTCGTATGTATCAACATATTTTATACCAATCCAGTGCCTGTACCTAACCTAGCTGGGTGCTAAGGTGAAGTTGACGGGGATAGAGAAAGGAAAATAAAGTGTGGCCCTCAAAGACAACTCCAGAAAATTAGCAAGAGAGAATACAAGAAAAAGGGAGCGAGTGGGCGTGCAGTACCTTTCTCTGAGCGCCTCCCACTCCACCGGCAGGCACTGTGCAAGGTGCTGGCTCGCAATCGTTTCACTGGGGCCATGTTGCCTTACCTCAGTCTCTGCCCGAGTCTGCCTTAGAATGTAAATATTTTCTCCATTCAACTTTTCTCTTTCATCTCCAGGACCAAACATAGGGGGGAAAAAAAATTATACACACACACACACACACACACGCGTACGTGAGTGTGTGTGTCAATTGACAGACATTTTTGGTGTTGTTTTTCATACTGAGGATTACAAGAGGGTGAGTGCAAGTGTGTTCAGGAGGGCGGGGTGGGACACAAGTAACATGCAAACCAGAATTTGCTGTCAGCAGTCTGGGACAGTTCTGCCAATCTCATTTCTCAGAGAAATCTTTGTAGCATCATCTTTCATATTATAATTTTTCTTCCTTTCTTCGTTTATATTCTGTCTTCTTCTTGCTCTTCCATACATGATGGGTTAAAACTCAAAGAATCTGATTCAACGTAAAAGGAGGCTTGCCTCTCTTACCAAATTTCTTGTATTAAAGTGAACTTCTCATAGAAATGTTTTATAGTTTTCTTTGTACAGGTCATTTGTGTCTCTAGTTAGGTTTATTCCTAAGTATCTCATTGTGGTTGGCTTTTATAAATAGTATTGCTTTCTTGGTTTTCTTCTCTGAGTTCTCTTTGTTACTGTAGATTTTTGGATATTGATCTTAGATCCTGCCACTCTACTAAATTGTCCTACTAGCTCTAACAGTTTTTTTGTTGAATCTTTGGAGTTTTCTGTGTACATTATCATATCATCTGCATATATGGACAGTTTAACTACCTCTTTGCTTATCTGGTTGATTTTTATTTTTTTCTCTTCTAATGTTGCCCTAGCAAAAACTTTATATACAATTTGAATGGAAGTAGTGACAATAGGCATCTTTGTCTGGTTCCTGTTCTCAAGAGAATGTATTTCGTTTTTCTCCATTGAGATGATATTGGCTCTTGGTTTTGAGTATATACTTTCCACAATGTTGAGGAAATTCCCTTCTATTCCTATTTTTTTTAGTGTTTTACTCAGGAAATTTGTTGGATTTTGTCATATATATAACTCTTCTGCATCAATTGCTGCAATCATATGCTTCTTGTTATTTTCTTTGTTAATGTGAGGAATTATGTTGAATGTTTTTCTTACATTAAACCATCTTTGCATACCTGTTATGAATCCAGTTGGTTATGATGAATTTTTTTAATGTGTTGTTTGATTCTATTGGCCAGGATTTTGTTAAAGAATTTTGCATCTGTATTCAAGAAAGGTATTGCTCTGTAGTTTTCCTCTCATACATATCTCATGTTAATAAGCTTTAATCTAATGTGTTACTGCTATTATTATCAGCGAACTACTATCTATTAGATCAATTAAAAGTTTAAATTTTTTAAAAATTTTTTCTTTATTTCTTCTCTGTCAAAAGGCATTTTCTTTATGTATATCTGAGTTTGTGATTTGTAAAGTTTTCCTTCTCTTGAAGCATTTCTTTTACTATTTCCTACAAGATACGTCTAGCAGTAACACATTTCTTCATATCTCATTTGTCTGAAAATATATGTTGTTGGTGTTTTTTCCCTCCTTTTTCAGAATAATTGATTTTTTTTTCTTCTCTCAACACTTAAATATACTGTCAGTTTTCCGGGTGGATATGTAAGGCCATCTTGTCTCCTTTGTCTTACTCTGTCTTCTATCCCCACATCCTATCAGCCGTTAGCTCTACTGTCTAAATATTCAATATCATCACCTTTACATGTTTATCCAAGTCTTCATCTTACTTCACTTACCTCAGTTGTCTCAGTAGGCTCTTTCCACGACTTACTATCAGTTCACCACACAGAAGACAGATATCTCTACTTCTTTTTCCCTTTACATCCTTACAAGCACATCCGTTTTTCACAAATAAACAGAATGTCCTTCGTGTAACCCTTTGATTATATAGTCATTTGTGACTGGCACAGGACTTTCATACTCTTCTTCATATATTATAAACATATGAACTGTCATGTCTTAAGCTAGTTGTGCTTTCTGCCTTTTTCTTTCCACTGTTCTTCTTTTTCTGAATATCTGAACAGGTCATTCCCACATTTCATTCTAGACTCTGCTTAGATGTGTTTTATTGACCACTCATATATCAAGCTTTCTACTTGTCTCATGTGAACAACAGTCTACATGTATAATTGTAGATTGTTTCATTTGGTTTTTCTCCTGTGAAACTATAGAGGTGATACTGTACATGCCAGTAATTTTGGTTGTATTTAGCAGAATTTCACAGGAACTGTATTTCCTGCTTCTCTAAGATTCCACTGTTAAAGTAAATGAATTTTGATTTTGAGCAACAGATTTTGTTTTGTTTTTTCACTTACAGATCTTGATGATGTCAGGAAGTACAAGCCAGGTTACTTGGAAGCTACACTTAATTGGTTTAGAGTTTATAAAGTGCCTGAAGGAAAACCAGAAAACAAGTTTGCTTTTAATGGAGAATTCAAAAATAAGGTGAGGTTGATAATTTTTATTTTTAAATATACTTTCAGGTATGATACTTCCATTTCAAGAGTTTCTAATGTAAATGTTTGTATGTAGAATGATTAAAAATTATTTAGACTAATCATCATAGTTGTTGTTATTATGTCTACCAATAAGTCGGAATCAACCCATTGGGATTTCAGAGGCAGTTAGTTTCATGGGAGGAAATTGCCCATCCTTCTCCTGCAGAGCAGCTGGTGGATTTGAACAGAAGCCTTTGAGATTGCAGTGCAGCTTCTTGCCATTAGGCCACCAGAGCTCTACCATTATAGTTAGAGGTATTATTATTTCTATTTAAACTTTTAACTCTTTATTTATTTCTTTCTAAGTCAATCAGTGAGGCTTCAAAAAGTCTTTTGGCCTCCTTCATTTCAGAAAAAATGAAAGCATTTACGACCAATTTAATTTTACAAAATTATATTAAATAATTCCATCCTTTTATTATTTTCGGAAGGAGAAAATTAGTGCATAAGGGACTTCTCTCCTAAGAGTTTTATTCTATCATAACAGAAATAATCTGCTTAACAATTAAGAAGGCAATTGAATTGTCTGTAATAGAATTTTTCTATTAGAGTGACACAGAATTATCATAGAGTATCTTTGTTACGATGGAAATGTTGAAAATAGCCCAAATATCTCTAAAATATATGGTGCATATGTAGACTAACAGACAAGTTGAACAGTATATATTAAACAATAAGATTATATCCACAACCATATAGGTTGAGCAGATGATATTTCTACATATGTATGTGCTGTAAACAGATCTATGTATATAGTAGCACAAACAGAACAGTTTATAAAGAATAGATATCAAACAGTTTTGAGAAATGAGTGAGTGAGCTTGGCAACTCAGGAACAGATCAAGAGGTACCTCAGTGTCAATTGGAGCAGCATGGTAGATGAAGACAATGCTCTCCATCCTACTTTGGTATTAATTGGGGTCTTGAAAGCTTGCTAATAGCCATTGAAGTAGCAACTATTGGTCTCTCCTTTTCTGCAGCAAAGTGTAAAGAGTGTGAAAGACCGGTGGGTCATGTGAACTTCAGTCTCTATGACTCTAAGGTCAGCGAAACTAGTTGATGGCTGACTACCACTTCTGATCAATTTGCAAGGATCACAGTACAAGATCCTTGATGAAGTAAGGAAGAGACAAAGACCAAAACTAGAAGCACAAAAAATAATATACTTACTGCTTTGAGAAAGATGAGTGGAACCCCTAAAACTCTGGTCTTTAGTTATCCTTCAAGCCTGAAACTGAAAGCATCCCTGTGATTTAATTTTTAGCTTTACAATAGACAGATGTGTAAAGTGATCAGTAACACCAGAGGTATACACTTCTTAGAACAATCAACCCTATAAGACCAAAAAAGAAGCATTTTCCTAGGAAAAAAGTTCAAGAAGTGATAAGAAACAGGATAATTGGGAATAAGAAACAAAGAGGAAATGGGAAGCATTCTGTTATAATGTAGACTGTAATCAGTAAGCATGTTTGAATTATTGAATGAAAAGTCAATTGACAGTTACACTAAAATTATACTAAAAAGCTAATAAAAAATAATATCGCTAAATAAAATAACTGTTAGAAAACTGACAAATTCTATGAGTTTTCCTTTATCTAAGAAATCTCTTAACTGTGTACCTATGTGCTTTGTTCAGTATGTATGTGATAAGCCTGTACATTCATATGCCTTCCTATATGCATATATGTGTTTCTATCTATGTAATTGCACATCTGTTTTTGGGGATTTCTCATCACTGTTGCAAAATGATACATGTTATATCATTTGCTGAAGTTTTCCTTACTGAATTGAGCTCTCTTATTGTTGTTGTTGTTGTTATGTGCAGTCGAGTTGCTTGCGACTCATATCGACCCTATGTACAACAGCCCTAAACTCCACTCTGTCCTGTGCCAATCGCATTGTCTCTGATACTCCCATCCTGATTATCCTGCGCTGTCCCTCCACCCTCCCAAGCATGATGTCCTTCTCCAAGGACCGGTCTCTCCTCATAACATGTCCAAAGTATGTTAGACGGAGCCTAAGAATCC